CTACACTCTCATTCATACACATCCACTATGGACAATGTAGTTAATCCAATTCACTTAAAGGCTTATAGTGCATGTCTTTGGACTGTGGGGGAAACTGGAGAACTTGGAGGAAATTTATGTGGATTTATTAACTTGTGCAATACTTAACATTTCTGTTTGCACACGAGCTACTGTACATACACATGCACTGCACAATTATTTCACTGTATGCATTATAAATTATTATATAGTTATTATAAAATTATATGTTATATAATGCAGTTCCTGAGAGCTGCCACGTTAAATGAATTTCGTTGTATCGCTGCAATGACAATACAGTCTCTTTAGTCTTTACATTGGAGGATTTGTGTGTTTTTAATTGCCCGTTTTTTTTCTTTTCTACATTACAACATGAAATAACAAAACTGACCCATTCTGTGATTTCTAAAAGATCAATAATGTGAACCACAGCCTATAAACTATTGTTATTGCATGAATTCATTAATGGTTGTTTTTTCTAAACATTAACAAAGTTTCTGTTTAAAAATACCCTCATTAATTCTTAAAAATGGCAAATGTCTTTGATTTATACTGAAAGCAAGGGGTCCGGTTTCACACCAGATTACAGTGCAGGTTAAATCCACATGTTGGTTGTAGTTAATAAACTATTATTCTCTCATTTATTTCCTTTTCGGCTTAGTCCCTTTATTAATCTGGGGTCGCCAGACCTTGACATCAGTATCTTGTGTGTTTATGTATAGAATGTTTATGTATAGAATTTATCATGTGTGCATATGTATGGAGTGTATCATGTGTTCATATGTATAGAGTGTATAATGTGTGCATTTGTATAGTGTATAATAGTGGTTCTCAAACTGTGGTACGTGTACCACTAGTGGTACGCAGGCTTACTTCTAGTGGTACGCGGAGGAATCAATGAGTAACAAATGAAACAATTTTAATCATTTGATGTGTATACAATAACACCAATGTGATAAGTATTGTCTGTTCCTTAAAGCCTACGATCAAATCGTTGTGCTTGGAATGTTTACTTTAGTGCATCGCGTCATCAGCTGCTAAAAATCTATTCAATTGAACTAGAGAAAGAGGTGCGTGGTGCTGGCAGAGCAGATACTGTACGTGCTAGAGTAGTAGTCTCCAACTCTTGGACCACAGACCGGCACCAGTCTATAGATCAACTGGTACCGGACTGCACAAAAAATCATTAATTATTTTATTTATTTTGTAAAATCTTTTAATTTGGAAAATGACCATATTCTCTTGTTACACCTCAGTCACTTGAGTGCCAAAATTTAACCTGCAGGCTAGCAAAATTTGTAAGGACTAAGGAGTAAGCAGCACGAAGCACTTGCGTGTTCCAGGCATCCCTAGTTGAAAACATCTTAACTTTTCAGAATGCAGCACTACGAGTCGGCATAAGAACCGACTGATAAGCTTCAAATTTTGTATGGAATATAATTTCGTTAAATGAATATGACTCTGACTTGTTTTCGAACTGTGCAGTGCTGTAGCTGCTTAATTTGACCAACTATGCTATTTTATTTCAATACTGGTCATTATGGTGGTACTTGGAGAGATCATTTTTTCTGAGGTGGTACTTGGTGGAAAAAGTTTGAGAACCACTGGTGTATAATGTTTGTATATGTATAGAATGTATCATGTATGGAGTGTATCATGTTTGTATGTCTATATAATGTGTTCATATGTATAGAGCATAACATGTTTATATGTATAAAATGTATTGTGTGTATATGTATAGAATGTATCATGTGTGCAGACGTATGGAGTGTATCATGTGTGCATCTGTATGAAGTCAACTCACCTTTGAAGCCAGAGACCTGTGTTCTATCCCAGACCTTGACATCAGTGTGTCGTGTGTGTATATGTATAGAGTGTATCATATGTGCATATGTATGGAGTGTATTGTGTTTATGTATAGAATGTATAATTTGTGCATATGCATTGAGTGTATCATGTTTGTGTAAGTATAGAATATATCATGTGTGCATATGTATTGAGTGTATCATGTTTGTATAAGTATAGAATGCATCATGTGTGCATATGTATGAAGTGTATCATGTTTGCATATGTATAGAGTTTATTACATGTGCATATGTATAGAATGTAACGTGTGCAAATGTATGGAATGTATCATGTTTGTATAGAGAGTATCATGTTTGTATATGTAAATAATGCATAATATGTTCATACGTATAGAGTATATTATGTTTGTATATGTATAGAATGTATCATGTGTGCATATGTATTGAGTGTGCATATGTAAAAACTGTATCATGTATAGAATGTATCATGTGTGCATATGTATGGAGTGCATCATGTGTGCATCTGTATGTTATGCATTGTTCGTCATAAGAGTTCATCAGCTACTATGTAGTAGCTCAGTGGTTAAGGAACTCACCTTTCAAGCCAGAGACCCGGGTTTTATCCCAGACCTTGATGTCAGTGTGTCGTGTGTGTATATGTATATAATGTATAGTTTTTGCATATGCATTGAGTGTATCATGTTTGTATATGTATAGAATGTATCATGTGAGCATAGCTATAAAATGTATCATGTGTGTAGATGTATAGAATGTATATTTTGTGCAAATGTATTGTATATCATGTTTGTATATGTATAGAATGTATCATGTGTGCATATGTATTGAGTTTATCATGTTTGTATATGTATAAAATGCATTGTGTGCATATACAGTATATAGAATGTATCATTTGTGCATATGTATGAAGTATATTATGTTTGTATATGTATAGAGTTTATTATGTGTGCATCTGGATGGTGTACATTGTTCGTCGTATGTGTTCATCAACTCCCAGTAGCTCTGTGGTTAAGGAACTCACCTTTCAAGCCAGACAGCCAGGTTCTATCCCAGACCTTGACATCAGTGTGTCGTGTGTGTATATGTATAGAATGCATCATTTGTGCGTATGTATGATGTGTATCATGTTTGTATATGTATAGTTTATCATGTGTGCAGCTGTATAGAATGTATCATGTGTGCATATGTAAAAAACATGTCATGTATAAAATGTTACATGTGTGCATATGTATGGAGTGTATCAACTGTGCATTGTTCGTCGAATGAGGTTATCAGCTCCCAATTGCTCAGTGGTTCAGGAAGTCATCTTTCAAGCCAGAGACCCGGGTTCTATCCAAGACCTTGACATCTGTGCATCGTGTTTATGTAAAGATTGTATCGTGTGTGCATAAGTATTGAGTGTATCATGTTTGCATATGTATAGAATGTATCATGTGTGCATATGTATGTAGTGTATCATGTTTTTATGTGTATGGTGTGCATTGTTCGCCATATGAATTCATCCTAGTACTAGTCCTAGTAGCTTAGGGATTAAGAACTCACCTTTCAAGCCAGACACCCGGGTTCTATACCACACGTTGACATCCGTGTATCGTGTGTATTTGTGTATAGAATGTATCATGTGTGCCGAAGTATGAAGTGTATCATGTTTGTATATGTATAGAGTTTATTGTGTGCAAATGTATGGAATGTATCATGTTTGTATAGAGTATCATGTTTGTATATGTAAATAATGTATAATATGTTCATATGTATAGAGTATGTTTGCATATGTATAGAATGTATCATGTGTGCATATGTATAGTGTATCATGTGCGCATATGTATAGAATGTATTATGTGTGCATATGTATTGAGTGTATCATGTTTGTATATGTATAGAATGTATCATGTGTGCATATGTATAGAATGTATCATGTGTGCATATGTATAGAATGTATCATGTGTGCATATGTATAGAGTGCATTGTTCGTTGTATGAATTTATCAGCTCCCAATAGCTCAGTGGTTAAGGAACTCAGCTTTCCAGCCAGAGACCCAGGTTCCATCCCAGACCTTGACATCAGTGTGTCGTGTGTGTATATGTATAGAATGTATTATTTGTGCATATGCATTGAGTGTATCATGTCTATATATGTATAGAATGTATCATGTGTGCATATGTATTGAGTGTATCATGTTTGTATATGTATAGAATGTATCGAGTGTGCATATGTATAGAATGTATCACGTGTGCATATGTATCGAATGTATCATGTTTGTATATGTATAGAATGCATCGAGTGTGCATATGTATAGAATGTATCATGTTTGTATATGTATAGAATGCATTGTGGGTGCATATGTATGAAGTGTATCATGTTTGTATATGTATAGAGTTATAATTCTTAAATACCATACAGCAAAAAAAATGTTAGAAAACACAAGAATGGTTGATTTTGTTTAATGATATTATTATAGGTGGGGGGGAGAACATTAAAACAAGTGACGAAAATGACCAACATCAAAACCAAAACTATGACAAGACCCTGAACACAATGCACATCTCTAGTGTTGACGCATGAGAACATCGAGAGGAGTTAAAAAGTGACACAGGCAAGCAGACGGGTCTCCTTATAGAGAAGGCTGAAGGAAAAATGTACCCAGAATAAATAGAGCGATGGAGAGGTTAGCATATGTATTACTGCAGGTTTATTCAAGACAGGGGAGATAAAAGATCATCAGAGAAACTCTTTACAGTTCGTCAGTCACATTTCTGAAGCCAAACTCTTTGCTTTGGTAATTATATATAAAGTGATTTCCAAAGGGACTGAAATTATTCAGAAATATAATGATCTACAACTTTTTTTTCTTGTTAATATAAGGATTTTATACAGTAAATGCCCTCTAGTTGAAAATATGATAGGAGAAATTCATTTTCGTGTTACATTATTTTATACATACAGTCTATTGGTTTGGAGCAACAACAACAAAAAAAGCATTTAGAGTGAAATGTAAAGCAAGCTATCATATTTACAGCTTTATTTTTTAACGTTTCAGTGGTATTCACATCTGTAACAAATGTACGAAAACGGTTTTATTCAATACTCGGTGTTTGAGATCTGAAAAAACAGAGGGCTTCAAATACACAATACAACTATCTTTTCTTAAAAGTGCAATTCTTTTTTTTTTGGTAGAAAGTAAAAAAATATATATCCTTATTTTCTATATAAGTAGAAATGTTATTTTCTTTAACAGCTTCTTTTTTTATACCTTAAACAAGCCCTAAAAGGAGTGACTGATAATTGATTTCTGTCACTTAATTCCGATTCTGAACCAACAAAACATTCATTTTACCGTCGAAATGGAGCGTGGAGTGATGCCAGTCGCTTAGACTGTTTAAAATAGCGATAATTAAAGCAATTAATACTTGATACTGAAGTTCAGGAGAGAGGGTAAGGATTCATCTCATATTGATCGACGTCAATACTATAGGGTTTTAAGTACATGATAATTAAACATACCATAATAAAAATGAACGTAGGTTTATAATAAAGCTTTTCTGCACCATAGCATGGTCGCACATGCAAACTATTTCAATACAACAGCCAAAACAAACCAAAAAAGGTCAAATGAAAGCGAGCAAACAATGATAATGACAACACCGGTGTGCTATGTAGAATTCTGGCTTGTAACACTTTCTAGTTTACAGAGTCTCGGTGGCACTAGCAGATCGTTGGCCTGCTACTGTCAGCGCAAAGTGAATAGAAAACACGCTCGCTTCCCAAATATTCTTCAAGTATCTTTGCGAAAATTTTTTTAAATAGCTTATAACAAAATAGTTTCCTTCGATTAGCTTTGAGAAGCTAACTGAAGGCGAGTCTGTTTCACACGTTTACGTTTCCTTTTCCAGTTTCTTGAGTTCATGATTCAGTTCATTTGGTAAACGTACGCTGTGAATTCGTTTCTTTACCATTCTTCTGTGCTGCAGTACGGTAGTTTTTTTTTCCATGAGGCTTTAGAGGCGTCCTCTACTCATCCTCAAATCAAAGTCTAAACTCATTAGTGTGAATGTTTAAGAAATGTCTTGATCTCCTTTGGTGGGCTGTGTGTTAGCCTCCGTTTCTGCTTTGTGGCCCAGTTGCTCCTGAAGCTCTTTTACGACCCGCTCCAGGTTTTGTCGGGCGTCTCGTTCCTTCAGCAGGTCTTCTCTCAGCTGTTCACGGTCCACTTCTGCCTGCTGGAGCTTCATCTGCAGATCCTCAATCTGATAGAGAGAATCACAAATAAACTTTTAGACATCATTGGAATGAGGTTGATTTGCTTTATAGATTACAAGCAATTATCCTGATGTCTGTTTTCAATTGGTGTTTGATCAAATAAATGGACCAAACTACAATTTTAGCATGCCTGGAATCTGCTAATCTTCCTATTCTGTTAGTTTAGAAACAAAACAAGTGTCAGCTTTAAAAATGTTGTCTGTATTACAAAATAATGCAAACCCAGAGCCCACTCAATCACTGTTGGTGAGTGTGAAACAATGTTACTTGATTTTTTATTATTTGGTTGAACTCTTTTTATTAGCGATTCTCAATCAGAGAGTTATTACAAGAGAGGGGGAGAAAACCATAACGCATTCATTTCACAATATTGAAGAAAAAAACACTGGGTGGTGATTAAACACATTCCTTACTCTCTGAACTATATAAAGGAAAATAAAGTAAACAACAATATCTAGACAATATCTTGACAATATCTAGTCAAATATTATTTACTGTTATCATGGCAAAGATAAAATAAATCAGTTTTTAGAAATGAGTTATTAAAACTATTATGCTTAGAAACGTGCTGAAAAAAAATCTCCCCATTAAACAGAAATTAGGAAAAAAAATTAATGGGGGACTAATAATTCTGACTTCAACTGTACATAATCTGATGTATTAATCTGCGTTCATTTTGTCCCAGTGTCTCATAGCAGTTTTTTTTTTCCTAAAATAAAAACTTTTAATGTTTGAAAAACAACAACAACAACAACCATAATTAATAGTTTTGTATTTTTACTGTTTTATGTACAATTAAATCAATAATATTATTAATAATATTTTAATTAAATTATTAATCACTTGGAATAAATGAAATTAGATGCCTTTGTAATGCACCTGCATACTTCTTTAATGCAATAAAAAATGATACTGTTATTAATAAATAACTATTCGCTTTTCCAATTTGTCACTTGCTTGAAAGTTTAAAAAAAATCATTTAGACATCACTGGAAAAAAGGACGAGGTTGATTTTATAATTAATTGTTGCTTTGATTCTTGGATTACAACTGATTATCTTAAAATTAGTTTTCAATTTATGTTCAATAAAAAACAAACAGACCAAACTACATTGTTAGCATGCCTGAAATCTGAAAGCTAATCTTCCTGCTTTTAAAATGAAACAAGTGTCAGCTTTTAAATTCTGTCTGTATTATAATATAATATAATATAATATAATATAATATAATATAATATAATATAATATAATATAATATAATATAATATAAATCCAGAGCCTTAATCTAACACTCAAGCTTTTTTGTTAAGTGTAAAACGATGTTACTTCTTTATTTGTACATTATTTTGAACAATACCTGGAAATATTATATGGTTAAGCATGATTATCATATTTGTTTAACAAAAAGTAATTACATTTATTAATGTATTAATCTCATTGTCATTTTTCCCCAGTATCTCATTGCAGAGTTTTTTTTTTAACCAAATATTATAATGTTTGAAAAGGAAAGAAAAAAAAACATAATTATTAGTCTCGTATTTTTACTGTTGGTGGTAAAATAAATAAATAATTAAATAATATTAATATTATTACATGAATTAATGTATTAAATACTTTAGTTGTACTTTTATGCACCTACAAGCAAATGCATTCTTAAATGCAATAAAAATGATACTAATATTAATAAACAACTATTGGCTGTTCTAACTTGTCACTTGTTTGAGATTTTTAAACTCAAAAATAAAATTACAGTTTTAATCATGTTTTAAATAAGAAAAGTTTAAAACACTTTCATTAAGATATACTAACTATTTTATAGCTTATGTATTTGATCCATTTAACATTCATCAGGCTATTATTATATTATATTATATTATATTATATTATATTATATTATATTATATTATATTATATTATATTATTAGTGATTGATACATTAGTGATGGCATTAGTTATTAGTGATCATTAGTGACATTATCTGTACTTGGTATTTATTCAAAAGCATCATTGAACTAAAAGCTTGTGATTAGAAATGTAATCCTCTTGTCATTATACTTTATTACATATAAAGTGAAGTTCAAATCGTTCAGATCAAATCCAGCAGCCGGATTTTACCTGTGAGGAGTATTTGGCCCTCAGACGTCCTGCTTCACAGTTCTTGTCACAGACACGGGTCCGTCTCTCTCTGTCCAAATCCCTCTTCAGCCTGTCGCAGGACTCGCTGGCGTCCCGCACCTTCTTCTCACACTCCACACGGAGGCGCTCGATCTCCTTCCTTAGGTTCCGCTTGGCTTCGATGGCCTCCCTCAGCCGGCCCTTCTTAGTCACCCTGACAAACTCCAGCTCCTGTCAGAGACAATCAGTGTTACTGATCATGGACAACATGTGAAGCCGACAAAGCAATCTGGAGACTACATTTACCAACTATTCTATTATTATTCATTCATTCATTTATTTTTCGGCTTGGTCCCTTTATTTATCAAGGGTCGTCACAGCAGAATGAACCGCCAACTTATCCAGCATATGTTTTATGCAGCGGATGCCCTTCCAGCTGCAACCCATCAGGGAAAAAAACAACCAATCACACTCTCTTTCACACTCATACACTATGGACAATTTAAAAAATTCAATTCACCTATACCACATGTCAATGGACTGTGGGGAACCCATGCGAACATGGGGAGAACATACAAACTCCACACAGAAATGCCAACTGTGACTCAGCTGGGGCTTGAACCAGCGATCTTCTTGCTGTGAGGTGACATCGCTACCCACTGCGCCACCTCTAATATTATTATATTATCTCTTTTAACTATTAACATCATTATTAAATTTATTTTTGTTACAGTATTTTAGATCAGTTTGTTTTGTATTAGCTTTATTTATTTTATTTATTTTTCAGTTTTAGCTTTAGTATTTCAGTACTTCATCAAACTGTATTTCAGTTAGTGGACTTATCAACATACAAAATATTCAAAAATATTGAAATAATAAATTAAATAAGTGAAGAAGTGTTATATTTGAAATATTCAGAATTGTATTATTACTAATGGTATTATTTAAAACAGATTTCATAGAATATGAAGTAATATTTTGGTTTGTATTAAAAACATATATAAAATACATATATATATACTACTTACCTAACAGTTTTAAAGGTTACATTCTTCACCATAAAAATATACATTCATAGAAAACATTACTATTTCTATATCTAGAAACTGATCTACTCTATTTTTAGTGTTTAAATAGATTTATATAAAATTTATTAATATAAATTGTATATAAATGTAACTTTTGTCAGGTTTATGTGTATTTCAACACATATGTATATTTATTATGTATATTGCTGAATATTTATCAGTCCACACCTGCTGCAGGCTGCGTTTGGCTTGCAGAGCGGCTGCCAGTTTCTCCTCCTGCTTCACCCTCATGCGGATGATCTCCTGCAGGAACTTCTCTCTGGCCTCTTTGGAGCTCAGGTCACTGCTGAGCGTCTGCTTGAGGAGCTCCAGCTCTGAACAATGACCCGCTGCCAGTCTCGCCCTCCCATCATGCACCTCTGCAGAGCTGTGAGGGCTGAGGGTCATCACCCCGACACCATTGGTGAAGGGAGGAGACATCAGCGAACGAGAGACAGCAACTGCAATCAGAAAATAGACAATACAGGTGATGAAGTAAAAGCACACTATTTATTTTACTCTAAATCGAAACAGTAGACATGATTCCATCACAAGTATGCACAAAACTTTTGCAAAAATTTTAGAATGTTGATAAAAACAATTGCGGAAATGACAGGATTTACATTACTGTAACTGTAAATGGGACAATTTGTTCCTCAGTGTAATAGATATACAACATTTTGGTCTTTCAGCAGTAAAAATTAAACCACACTGAACTGAAATAAAATGAACTGACACAGTTTTAGTTTACTAGAACTTCTATGTTAAGCTGCTTTGACACAATCTACATTTTAAAAGCGCTATATAAATAAAGATGAACTGAATATATACCACACCACACACTTACGACAAACATTTCACAACATTAATACTAAAAACAGCGTTATGTGTTATGTGACTAAAACTCATCGTTTCATAGTCATTCTAAAAGTTATGGTGATATATTTCATAAGTATGTTCACTATACTGCAGTCAACATACTTGACATTACTTTTGATAAAATGAGATACATGTGCACCAGACAAACAATATCACTCCACAGAGAAACTGAGGATTCTGAAGTTCTATACGAGCAGATCAACTATATTTGAGTTGTGCAAGTTTCTATAAATAAACAGATTGACTGTGTGATTTTATACCATGTGACCTCTAAAAGCAAAAAAAGTTTGTTGCAGCTTTGCAAAAAAATTTTTTATTAATTTGCCTCCAAATCACCTCATGAGAGCGAAAAATTTACAGTTTGCATTAGGCCAAATGTTTTTATTTTGCTCAATGCAGCCTTTTACAATTATACTAAACTCTTAACAAAATCAACATTGCTGCATTTACTAAATAAACAAATCAATATATTATATTTTATAGAAATAAACACAAAACAAAACAAAAAAACATACTTAAAAAAAGCTTCTCCTATTGAGGTAAGAGGTAATCTATTTAAAATTGACTCTTATAATCATACTGAACAAAGTTCTAGAAACATGTATTGAGCTAATCAATACGGAACTGCCAGATAGGAACTCTATTGCCCACAAAACATTTTTCATCCACATCTTCCTCTGTTAAATGTGATGAAAGGACTCCATATATTTTCTAATACATGCTGTTTGGCTTTTAGTATACAAGTAATCTTTTTCTAATGGAAGGCTTGACAGGTCTTATCCATTGAGTATCGTTTGGTCTTTGGATCTTTGCCCAAAGCAAAGCTATACATATTTTGTCATGAAGCAAGCTGAGGTCTATAAATAGTTGGGTTTGGATATAATTTGGATTTTCTAGGCATAAGGTCAGCAAAAATAGGTTTATAGTACAGGAAAATTTGTTTTTATAATTTTTTACAAATTTTTCAATTTTATTTGAAAATGCAAGAGTGTATGGGTGTTTCCAAGTGATGGGTTGCAGCTAGAAGGGTATCTGCTATGTAATAACATATTGTTCATTCCACTGTGGTGACCCCTGATTAATAAATGGACTAAGCTTAAAAGAAAATGAATGAATATGTGTGTGTGTGTGTGTGTATATGTGTGTATGTATATATATATATATATATATATATATATAGAAATGCACCTAGTGTTGCAAAGTTACATTTTTGTTGCTAAATTTTTCAGAGTCATATGACTGTATACATTATATTTTTACATAATGCAAATTCTCTTCTTTTCTGACCTTCAGCACAGTTGTCCACCTGGATTTCCTCATCTGAGTCGTGGTTCTCCTGCAGCCGCTGTTTGATTGGAGTGCACAGAGAGGTTTTGGTGGCTGGCTGTGATTGTCTCTCTGCTGACGGCCATCTCTTTCTTGGCCTGGAGCTCTCCGTCTTGCCTGTGTTGTGGCTCTCAGTGGGCTGAGAGAAACGGTGTGCTGGCTGCTCATTATTTTTGAAGGCAGCAATGGGCAGAGACACATTTGGAACTGCCAGATTGTCTTGCGTTTTAGCGAGCGATCTGAATGTCAGATGAACAGAAGACATTAATTACACGTCTTCCTCAAAGAAATATATTTATGCATTTCACAATGGAGATGATGAATTAAGGACTAATGGCTTATGATCACTGAATTAGTGAAACAGTTGGCGTACCTCTCATACTTGTGATTGGGAGTCTCTCGCTCAGCAGAGGGAACTCTGGGAGACCAGGGCCTGAAGGCTGAAGGTCTCTGCTTGAACTGGAGCTGCTTAAGATCCTATCGAAGAAAAAGAAGAGTGTTTAATTAGAGATGCAATGATATTAACTATTTAATTGACCTTAACTAACTAATTAACTATAATTATACAGTTGAATTGAATCTTTAGCAAATCTAAAAAATATTATGCATTTTCATATAGTACATTATAATGATGGGATGTGTAAATTTACTCATAAATTCACATAAAAATAACTGATTTTGGTATCAAAGCATCAGTATCTCTGACTTTACTATATATTTATATATGGGTAATATCACATGAGTAGCATTGCGATATGGCTGTATATCGTCACTGGTGGGAGGTGTGCGTTAGTGTCCCACTAGACTACAGTCTCAAAAATCCTTTTGTATGAGGAACTACTTTCTTCTGCCTTTCATTCACATCTGCAGCTGATGTCAGAACAGCAGAAACTGTTGCTAATTCACCAATGTCACTTCAGAGCTAGTATTTGGATGATTCTTTAGTAGAGAGTGATGACAAAACAGGTGATTTTGCTCACATTTTAAGACTGAACGGCATGATATGCCATCAGTTTACAGAGATTTCTCATTAGTTTTCTGTTGCAATCAGAAGATCACAATAATGAATCCCGAAAAAGTAAAAGCAGATTACTAAATCTTACTAGAGCTACCAGCTACCAGATTACTATGGTATAATTACAGCAATACAACATGCAAGAGCGAGTGATCGAGTGTCACTTACTAGTTTTATAATGATTTGATCAACTGTAATATAAAATTACAATAAGTTTTTCCTTCTCTAAAGGGCTTATTATGTGGTCTCTGTCGCCATCTTGTGGCAGAATGTCAACCCTCTTTGCTTTGCTCAGTGACAGGCTAATGGCAGCAGACGTGCTGAATGTCAGAAATTATAAATATTTAAAATAGGCACTATCCTTAAAAATAAATTGTATAGTTGCAATCTAAACAACTACATTCTCGTCTAAAAAGCCTCAAAAGTACATTATGTTGTCCAACAGCTGCAATATTTGTCAAACTGTAGTGAGTTTATTGATCCGCTGTTACTCTATGTGAGCGGAGTAATACACAAGAGTAAGGAGTCTGAACAAGTGCTGTTTTTGCAGAATATCGCTCGGCTATCAGCTAATCAGATTCAAGAACTAGACAGTACTGTTGTATAAATAATACTGCTATTTAACAACTAATTATTAGCCATTGTTACACTGAGCTACATTTACACTATGCTTTCACTATATAGTTAAATTCTAAATAACCAAGCAGCTTCAAAACCATAAAATACAAATAAAACTATATCAAAATCATTTTAGAAACCAACCTTGTTAGCAGAAGCCGCCAGAGACTGTAGCCAATCAGCTGGCTTCTCTCTATCTGCTGATGGCGATCTGGAGCGATCATGTTTAAGCTTTTTGGAGGGAATAGGACTGTATGCCTGCAAAACAAAACACAAAAACAACACTTTATGAGATGAAAAACACACAGTGAAGGCAAGACTGGGGTAGAACTTTGACCACGTAGGTGTCAAACTGACTTAAAGCTCTCATCATATATCTGAGAAAAAAAAAAATCGGGGTAAATTTAGCATCGGCACAAATAAAACCCAAACACTACAGGTATTCATACAACTTAAAAGGCTTCCTAAAAAAAGGAAGACAGTTAGTAAACCCTTCCCTTTGCCCTGAGGTTTCAGCATGTCATGTCCTGAATGTGTTTACATTTGTCGTACCATCAGCCTGTTCAAACCTGCGCCTTCTGACTCAAAGTTCAAGAATTGAAACACCTCCATAACCCGAGCATCCAGAGTCAACGTGAAAGTTAGCTGAGGATAAAGTCAAGAAGGTGTGCTGGTATGAAAATAAATCACCACGAATGAGCAAATGTGGTGTTTTTGGGTGAAAAACAGCATATGGGTGAGAATTAGAACTGGATAGAGAAGAGTTGTTGACTATAACACAACACAAGGGGGAGATGTGGTGCTTTATTTTGGTCTGACACCTGCCACAGAAGTCTTGCTGACAGGAATCTTTTAGTCCACATTATTTAGCATTGGCTCTCTGTGCCAGTCTTAACTACAATAATAAGCCCTTACTGTTATCACAAGGCGTGGGTTGCACGGTATGTGACCGAGGCTGTTTGAAGACCATTCTTTCAACGCGGATCTGACTCACACACGCCTAATACACACTTGCCTCCACGCTTTGCTTCAGTGACGAGTTTACGGTCGGGTAACATGGTCCTTGAAGCCGAGAAACACACATGCAAAGCACACACTTACTTTGCAATGCTGAAAATGGAGTAGCGCGGACCAATTCATGATCAAGAACTCTTCAGGCTGAGAGTAGTGGCTTTGAGAGCAGCCTCTTAACTATTCAGCGCACTTTCTGAATAACTAAATAGCCATAGAATGTGAAATATTCTAATACTGACAAGGTATTGAATACATATACCTCATGAGTGGAAAGTAATATATATTAATTAATCCTTTTATTATCGCATACATTACTGTAGAACTGATTTTTGATTTCTTTTCCACCTGTTAGGGCTTTAAACAGAGCTAAAATTGTGTTAAATGTCCAAAGGTGAAAAAAAAATGGCTTTAGTTTGCCAATTAGAAGTTTAATTGTATGTAATAAATAAAGAACAGTTCGATTCAAGGGCAAATTATTTATCAGGGATAATTCCTTTTATTAGTCTGTTAAAACGAGTCACTAAAAATGAACAGTTTAAGGGTGTATTCATGTGACGATGTTTTTTAAAACTGCAAAAGTCTTGCATGTATCACATACAGTACAGATGACAATGTTGTGAAACTAAACTCAAATGCTGTGGTATATAGTACTAGCCACATCAGTGTTTGGCAATGCCATTTAGTAAAAAAAAAATTTAATGCTACAAGCAGGCATTTTAAACAGGATATTCTTAGGTACTACAATTGAATTAGAACCTACTTCATGACTGTTAGTAAATGAAGACAATACAATTGTATTATATATAGGGGTGTAACACATCACGGTTAATCTGTGGTTTGTATGGAACACAACCCATGGTTCAGAACACACGACCACGTAGATTCATTTTTTTTTTGTAGATTAATCCTAAATCTGTAACGATCGCAAAGATATCGCCTCTCATTTACTCAGCAAAGCATTTCGGCTTAGCTGTAAAATGTAATGAAGACGGAAGAAATTGTGGGATGTTATAGAGGATGTGGAGGGTTTCTTAGGTTATTAAAGGTGTTTTCTGTCACTGCTTGTTTAGCCTGCATTCAGTATAAGCCGCAATTATTCATTAAAGATCGGGATCTCAACATCCACGCAAAAAACATTATAAATTATAGTGATTTCTATAGGTTTACTAATCCTTCGAATTGCTGCATTAAAATCTGTGTTTGAAATATGCAAAAACAAAGAAAGGATTCAGAGTCTTTTGAGTTAGTTATTATGAAGTTACAAACAGTAAAATAACACAAAGTCCTGGGATAACAGTTTATAGTTTAGATAAAAGCACTAATGTTTATGGTAAAGGTTAAAATCACTGTCATATGCATTTCACTGATGCTCAAAAATTAAAGTTGTAGGCAGCAATTACACTTTTTAACCAATAGGTGGTGACAACCAGCCATCAAAAATTTGCCACTAAATAATTCTTCAAAAATGACACATCTAGCAATTAAACATGAAGTTTTATGAATAATTAATCGAATCATTTATTAAAAATGAGACAAAAAATATGAATGGTAAAAATGATAATGTTAGATATCTACATTTAACGTTATCATCTCCAGTACTAATAACAGTAAATTTTTCACAGTACTGATTATTTTACTATTTATTTTTATTCCGGTGATTAATTCTTTATTTTATTTTTCATAAAATTACAAGTTCTAAGTTCTGTTTGTTAAAACCAAAAGTTTCTTGCAGTACTGTTTTTATAATAAATGGAAAGCAAATTTGTCTCTTCCCCTTTTTGGCTGATCCAAAAAATGGTCCGATACGTAACTAAAAACCATAACATGATCCGAACCGTAGGATTTGTAACTCGTTACACCACTAGATATAGTTATATATATAATTATTATGTGGAATCATTAAGAAACCTTTTTAGGGTGGGTGAATTTGGAAAGTAATCATAATCAGACACAAATATCTGACTTATTCCCCCAACTTTTTGGATGCGACAAAATACCAAAAACAATTCAGTGTGTGATTAAACTGCCCAGATTGATCACGTTGAAACAAAAATTCATAAAACAAAATTCAAAACAGAAAATACACAACATGGTAGAAAACATTGTCCAATATAATGAGTTTTAGGTAATCACCATTGACAGACAATATTTATCTGGGTTCAGAGGGTCAAGCAAAGCATCAAAATGTACAACTGGCTCACTACCCATGTTTTGTTAGAAGTCTGAACACCTGCTTGCCTTGCGCAAAGGGAAATTTGTTGTTTTTTTTCCCTTCCAAAAATGCGGATGGGTAAGTCAAAACATGACTCAAGCGATGAACAACCACTGCACACCCAACAAAGAACGTCTGTCTGTGTTTGTTCCTTCCCTGAGGTCTGGAGTTCCAGGAAGACCAGGGCGTCCCAGACATAATAGTCTTTGACTGTGCACCCTCCCAGACACCACAAGGGAGCCGCTGATGCAACGTCCGCTGATCTGAAATCAGGGCAGCCGTGACACGGGACTCACTCATCACCACATCAAACGTGTGGCCTCGTGACACACATGCAGGGCAGACTGTATCAAAACCACACAATTGATCCAGATTAGGACATGCACAACATCTGGGTGCAAACCTGGAGCCTTATATAAACCTTCAAGGAAGCTTGTGGCCATCTGGATTTATGATACAATTTTGAAGAACTCTAAATGAGGTTATTGCAAAGCACTATGTGTTGCCCTAGCCTAGACTATAAATACAGATGAAATATTCATGTTGGATAAAATGTAGCATGCTCTATATTGTTAATCATGACTGAGAAAATATAACAAGGCCTCCATTAATGCTGGAGCACATGAGCGAGTGATTGAAAGAGTGAGCAAGTGAGTGAGTGAGTGAGGGCCACATTTCCTCTCTGTAGTTTGCTTTGGCTGATGGCCCTGTGGGAACCCAGAGCGTCTGGTTCCTGAATGTGAGTGGGCGGGTTCGAGGAGCAGGACCACAGAGGAAACACAAAGCAGCAGGAATGTATACTTGAAGGCCAAGTACGGCTTACTCTTAAAGTGGCCATTCAATCCTATGCCCTTTCAACTGCCTATTGTGCAAGATTTCTTTGAAGGCATGTTATAAAGGAGCCCTTTACGGCAAACGCGAGGCTGAACATACAAGGATGAAACGTGCATGTTCGTGCCAACATAACCAATGCTTTTTTTTGCATGAAATCGGTTCATGAATTAAATTATCCCATGGTGGATACATAAAAATATTATAAGAACATGCTATTCTATCCTAATAGGCCAAATATAATAGCTGATAACATCCCGATATAGCATGCATTCCTAGTTTTGACTGGGGCTGATACGGATTTGAAAAGGATTGAAAAATGTCATTTTTGCCAATGGTCCAACATGTGCAGACATCCTAAACAAATATTGAGTAAAACAGTTAGGAATGCATGGCTCCATCCAAGAGCCATGGGTGAATGTTTTCATAAAATGGATTGGATATCATCTGACCACTTTTGCTTCTGATTTCGAATGACTAATGAAGCAAATTTCGACCTTCGAGTTACACCATCCAGCTCGTTCAGGGACATGGTGTGTGCTTCAAATCTCTGCTGATATCACTTGGAAGCCAAACAAGTGGAGTTTCATTTGCCGTGAAACAAAAATAGTCTGCTCTGTTGAACTTGTTTGAGCAACAAACATCCTCACAATAATGCGCCACACTGCCTGAAAGTGCTGTGGCGGTGGTGGTGCGCAGCAACCAGGCACAACAAGTTTCCTATTACAGCTTTTCTTTCCCCCCACGGAAATCCTGCATGTAATCCCCAGATCTGTGTGTGCTTTGCCGTGCTCTGCCAAAGTCAAGGGCAAAACTGGCGAAACACACTTGAGTAGGAGCTTTGCTGAGATGCGCTGGAGATGGGCTCTCTGATTAAGGGGGCTTCTGGAAGACCATACAGGATGAAAGTGTGTAAATAAAAGTATGTGAGAGAGAAAGGAGAAGATAATGCCAGCTGTCCTCATGCAAGTGCAAGTGCTTTGGAGGGTCTCGCAATTTTATATTAAGCCCGGTTGTCACCAGGTGTCAGCTGGCAGATCATTCCTTGCAGAGAAAAACTGTGCCATCACGTTTCCCCTCAAGTCCTTCCTCTTCAAGAAGTCAGATATGGAGCCTTAGGGAAAACCAATCTTGATTGGATTGTGCTAATAGTCTTTGGACTGGAGTTTTGCTGCTGTTTGAGCTGAACAGGGAACAGACTTT